CATGGGAAAAAAAGTCAGAATTCTGAGAATAAAGTCAGAATTCTGAGAATAAAGTCAGAATTCTGAGATTAAAGTCAGAATTCTGACATTAAAGTCAGAATTCTGACATTAAAGTCAGAATTCTGACTTTTTTCCCATACTATACTGAAATAAAATAAAAAAAATCAGTTAAATTTTTTAGTTTTTTTCCCAGTGGCCCTAATCCTCTTCCGTAGGACTCCATTAGTAAGTGATCAAAAATGGGGTAACTTGCTCTTTTAAAGATTAAGGGTTTTTCGTTTTTTGGATCATTTGATCCAAAAACCAAGAATGGGAGAATTTCCGCTTGCCCAAACAAAACGGGTTGAGACACCAGATCTTCTTCTCTCTGAGCCAATATGGGAGATTTACTTCTGAACTTTGCAAACATAGACGACATCATCAAGATCTTCTATATTCTGCAAAACTGGGTCAATTAATACCAATGTGGATTGTCAACGTGTAGGGAAGTCCACCGGTGTTTTTCCAGCTGGTCCAGATTCCCAGTGATCCGACTGCAGGTGATTGATAAAACGCTTCAACTTCAAGGAGTACAAGAAAAGTTTCCTACCTGACCTATTTCCTCTGTAGGAACCAATCAGACTCTTTATATTTATTTTGTATGTAGTTTGAAATTTCAGCTCAACAATTTTCAGAAATCTTGTAAATTTCTTAACGTTTCACACAGAACGAGATCTGAACAGCGCACTTTTTTAAAAATCCAAGAAAAAAAAGAAAAAAAACAGACACCCACTCTCTGTTTAAAGAGCTCCACTCTTTTATTTCCGTTTGTTTCTTTATAAATTAACCTTTTTCATGTCATTTACATTTTGTTGCTTTTTACAGTTATTCATTAGGATTCTCAGACATCAGTTAAAAAAAAAAAAAAAAGGCCTCACAGAGGGTTTTTACTTTCCAGAGAGCTCCTGGTGAATGTTCTGGTATCGCAGCAGCTCCTTCTCAGACACAGAAGGCTTGAAGTTATTCAGAGCAACTGAGAAATCCTCCTCAGAGAGGAAAATGGGAGAGTCCTCCGAATCCAGACCTGGAGGAGAAAAAAAAAAAAACTGATCATAGAGAAGGAAAAACTGCTGCTCTGGATAAACAAAGGTGGATTT